TGACATTAGGGACCGGTATGGTGCTCGGCGCACCGGGATGAGCGAGGACGAAATCCCGGGGCGTTACAAATGGTATCAGAGCCGACGACGGGTCGCCTGTTGTAGGTGAGAGTACGCTGGAAAGGCCTAGGGAGCGCCAGGTACTTGGCACTTAGCAGGGAACGTCGAAGATTTTGGGACTGTACTGAGGGTACTGCAGAGCCGAGGACGGCTCTATTTCTAAGGTGGTGGGATTGTAACATCCATGAGTGGATGTTAGTCGCACATTGTTAAAGAATGGATATGGATTGTGGTAGATAGAGCTTAACCATACACTAACTAATGTCAAGGCCTTTTGGGGAAAAGCCCATATGGGTGGACCCTGATCCAAAACCCTCTACTGCTGGAAGCCCGCAGTGACTAAAGGGGGACAATATTGACATTAGGGACCGTTATGGTGCTCGGCGCACCGGGATGAGCGAGGACGAAATCCCGGGGCGTTACATTTTGCCCATCCGCTTGTACGCTTTGCCTTTTCCTCTCTATTAGGGTTTCCTCCATGTCACCCTCGAACCATAATTTCTTAACACACCTAAACTTGATTGCATTAGATATATACATGCATTCTGCTTAGACCAATGAAGTCATCTTCCGGTATAGGTAATTTCCATACCTTAGTCCAAATTTTGGTAAGGAGGATGGGGAGTACGACTTTGGTGTATTTAATCTTTAAGTTTTGTGAGGTTGTTATAAAGTTGTTGGATAATGGAAAAGTTTATATTCTTGGTTTGGAGTTACCAAATGTTGTGGGCAATAATACGGTTAACATTCGTTGGCTTGGTGGTGCCACGGACATTCGAACCAAGCCAATAAGCTACCATGGCTTGATTCTGTCTTAAGGAATTGAAGTTTATGCATGTCGACCCCTTTTTTTTTACTTTCCCTTCTATAGCCATAAGAGGTGAAATGTGGGGAATATCATGGATTGGGTTTTGGAGGTGAGGGTTTTGCATGATGGGAATATCTAAGGCTTTGTTAATATGTTGATGATCTAAATCATACTCACCTCCGGCATACCATCACTTCTTTGGATAAGGTTGTTGTAGAAGATGTCAACCACGGTTGGGTGCCATTGTTCGGCTTTGTGGCATAATAGATTCTTCCACCCTCGAATTCGTATCTCTTTGCAAAAAGAATTGCTTTGCCATGGGGTCTTCCATCACCTTCCTATAGAACTTTTCTGGAAGAACCTTCCTACCTCCTTCAATTGTGACTAAAGTCATCGAAGTTTGAGAGAGAAAAAATTGATTTCAAAATTTTGAAAAAAATGAAAAAAAAATTTCAAACTTTTTGTCTGAATCGCACGAGGCGAGTTGGGAAGAAAAGCTAACTCGCGCAGGGCGAGTTTATCTGAAAATAAAAATCGAAATTCCTTTGTGAATTTCAATAGATTTCGGTTGAAATTTAGAGAAGAGGGAGAGAGAGAGAGAGCTTAATTTGTAAAATGTATTGTTTGAGGGAGAGAAGTGAGGTTTATATATTGGTTTCTTGAGGAAAGTGAAGGGTTTATACATTAAGTTGTTTTATTAACTTTTGTTTTAATTCACTAAACTCTTCATTTTCCACCATAACACACATACATGAATCAATTAAAGTGACTCTTCACTTCAACTTCCTTTAATGTGTTCCCACGCTCTCTAACTCGTTCTTGTTAACGCGGTCCCAATTAATGTACCCTTTTCATTATTATGTGTGAATGTGACCATTAAGTGTTAAAATGGTTTATATATGTAAAAATTGGTCCATTAATTAATTAGTTTCGAATTTTCAAAGACAATGACTAGTAATATGG